TCCACACACACATACAAACACACACACACACACACAACCTGGGTTTATCAATAAATTATAACTCGATATGAGTTGTCCCCTTTCATTCTCGCGATAGCGATGTCTCTTAATCGTGTTTTCAAATTGATTTCGTGCAAAAACAATTGTGTTTTTCCAATTTTTGGCGCTGTCAGAACCACCGTGAGGTAATTTTACGTAGTCCTGTGAAGTTTTTTTGAAATCTACTGAAAAATGTAGGAAATCCGATCCAATATATAAACGAACAGACACACACACACACAACCTGGGTTTTATAAGTATGATGTAAATATTCATTAGGTTTCCATCTTTAAAAGTTGTTATTTTATTCCCCATCCAGAACAGATAAATTTTACATGTGGGGATTAGCTAGGACTTCAGGGAGACTTTGAGGTGTAAAGGGTAGGTGAGAATGTGGTGTTTCGGTTCAAGGAATAATGTATAGTTTGTTTGGTCTAGTGATTATGGCTAGCAAAGTTTAATAAGACAGATGATAACTAGCTTTTCCCATTTCTACTTTTGGCCTTGTGCCACATTTTTTTCTATTTATATAAAAATAAATATCATTTGAGGAGTACTTAATTTACTCAAGTATTTCCATTCTATGTAAGAGTATTTAATAAACCTCTTTTTTCCCCCTCTACCCAGTCTTTTGTTCCTTCGATACTCTCTCTAACTACGGCCTTCCTAATTCACGGCTATTTTGAACTCCTACGTATGATTATTTAATAAACCTCTTCTGGTTTGCCCAACCTAATCTTCTGTCCCTTCGATACTCTACGGCCTTCCTAATTCACGGCTATTTTGAACTCCTACGTATGATTATTTAATAAACCTCTTCTGGTTTGCCCAACCTAATCTTCTGTCCCTTTGATACTCTACGGCCTTCCTAATTCTTGGCTATTTTGAACTCCTATATATGAGTATTTAATAAACCTCTTCTTTCTTTTCCTCTACTTCGTCTTCTGTTCCTTCGATACTCTCTCTAACTACGGCCTTCCTAATTCTTGGCTATTTTGAACAAAAATAAAATTAAAACAAACTGAAGCAGGAATATTTCTAACCAAACAACTAGAAAGTCGAAAAAAAAAAAAGGCAAGACCAAATTTTAACCGAGATTAAAACTGTTCGACGTTGATTTATAAAGACATTATTAGTGATATCGTGAACTTTGAAGAAACCTCCACACCTATCTATTTTTTTTCTTCTTTTCAATGGCTTGCACGAACAAAGCAGTATTTGACCTTTCTACAGGGGTCAGGGGAAATAATCAAGCGAATAAAAAATCTGGTATTCTTGGGAATAGGTGATTGATCATGTTCACGGTATTCTTCACTACACGTTTAATTCTATCTATCTATCTATCTATCTATCTATCTATCTATCTATCTATCTATCTATCCCAGTCTGTTCATATCTCTCTATCTATCTATCTATCTATCTATCTATCTATCTATCTATCTATCTATCCCAGTCTGTTCATATCTATCTATTTATCTCTCTCACTATCTCTCTCATTATCTATCTATCTATCTATCTCAGTCTGTTCATATCTATCTATCTACATACCAACCTATCTGTCTTCACATTCGTCATTATCTATCTATCTATCTATCTATCTATCTATCTATATCTATCTATCTATCTATCTATCTTCTATTTCTCTTCTCTATCTATCTATCTATCTATCTATCTATCTTCGCATTCTTTATCTATCTATCTATCTATCTATCTATCTCAGTCTGTTCATATCTATCTATCTACATACCAACCTATCTGTCTTCACATTCGTCATTATCTATCTATCTATCTATCTATCTCTCTCTCTCTCTCTATCTATCTATCTATCTTCGCATTCTTTATTATCTATCTATCTATCTATCTATCTATCTATCTATCTATCTATCTATCTATCTATCTATCTCTTCATTTTATCTATCTATCTATCTATCATCTATTATCTTTATTATCTATCTCTCTCTAAATCTATCTATCTATCTTCGCATTCTTTATTATCTATCTATCTATCTATCTATCTTCATTCTTCATTATCTATTATCTATCTATCTATCTATCTATCTATCTATCTTCGCATTCTTCATTATCTATCTATCTATCTATCTATCTATCTATCTATCTATCTATCTATCTAAGTCTGTTTATATCTGTCGTTCATATCTATCTATCTGCCTGTCTAAAGCTGGTTACTGGGAGTGAAAGAGAATGAAAAGACATTATTGCGGAGAATGGACAAAAAGAAAAGAATAGATTTCAGAAAGATAGTTGATGGTGATTGACATTGCATTTAATTTTTGAAGAGTGGCTGTGGCAGGGTAACAAGAAGTCGGGAGACAGTTACATTGACGAGAAGTACAAGTAAAGAAACTATTAGAATAGAACTTGCGGTTACATATAGCTAGTTCAACAGTAAACTGGTGAGACCTAGTTACCAATCTAATAGTAAGCATAAATTCATGCAGTTGAGGCACAAAGGAAAAAGATCATTAGAATAATCATGACGAAATATTTGTAGAAAAGACAGAGGGAAGTCACATTATGTCAGTGAGAAAGTGACCGAACTTGAGGGGCCACGTCAGGATCGATTACATGACACACCCTTCTTGGAATTTTGTGAAGACTCTCAAAATATATAGTGGTTTTGGATGTTTGTTTAGCGGCATATCAACACCTTGTGTGCCATTTAATGTCGAAATTTAATTTTCTTGCGAGCAGTAGTAATTAGTATCTGTCTATATTTCTGAGATGAGGTATTATCTACACTATTTACATTATTCGGATTATCTTCCTCATCTTTGTTGCTATATTTATCACAACGTTTCAGTCGTTGTACGCTCCGTCCTTCTTCAGGTGGTTGGAATGTCAAACTGAACCCTTTATTTCACTCGTTGAGGTAGACTGTTCTAGTTCCACGGGGGCCACTCAAGGTAGAGGGTTACGTTAAGGGGTAGTATATACAGATCGGAGAGTTAGATAACTTTTAACTCAAGATTTGTATAGGTTAAGATTGTAGTGACCAGAGTAACATCCTCTTGGAAGTCGGTTTCACATGCCAGTGGTTCGCAGGCAGAAACAGCTTGAGTGGAATGTGGATGGTTTGCTACTATGTAACTGTCTTGGCGAGTTCTAACCGTGAAGGTAAGACCTAGTGGCACCAAGGAATGTAGTTCGTACGAGCACTTTCCATGTTAGTAGCGATCGAGCAGCGAGAGACTCACCAAATCCCGCTGGTTAGAGAGAGGATTGAGGGTGGAAAATAATTCTTCTCCAACAAGGACTCGGAGACGCTTTTGAACTTTATGAAGACTAGAGAGTGAGGACTGGGCGGCTCCTTCCCAAATATGGCAAAAGTACTGCATTTCCGTACCGATCTGGCTCTTATGTAGTTAGAGGATAGCATGAGGGGTCAGGTACTTAATGAAACGGTACAGGAAGCCGATCATTTTACCTGCATCTTTAGCGATGGATTGTATATAAGAGGTCGGTGCGAGTTTGAGGCCCAATAATCACTCAAGGCACGGTGCCTCCTCGAGGGACATCCGCTGTTCATGCCTTTCTCTCTCAGTTTGCTAAGATTTATATATTCCTTTGATATTTATTTTCTATGTAAATCATATTTCACAATCATTTTTTTCTCGACTGAACACTTTTTTCTTTCTGCACACGTATATACATGCGTGTGTATATATATATATATATATATATATATATATATATATATATATATATATATATATGTATGTATATATATAGATAAATTGATAGATTGATAGACAGACAGATAGATAGATAGATAGATAGATAGATAGATATAAATAAAGGGCGATGGATAAATTGCTGCCATTTCATATTTTTAATTTCGCGCATGTGCTTTTGATTTTGTCGACTGCACAGGGTGGGATCAGTTGGGCACCGTCCGTTAAAAAAATCCCCCATGACGAAATTCTCTCGAAATGTGGAAACGGCATGCTGTACTCTTGGCATTCGCAACAAAAGTTCCGACATGAACATTTCAGAATGTTTTGGTGCCAATCAGAGGACAGTGCAGAAAATTCGGAAAGAGTTGGATGAGTCTGATGATGATTACGAAGGTGTTTGGAGTGATCACTAGTGATGGCGATATTAGGCCACCTTACGTCTTCCTACAGGGCCTCAGATTCAACACGGAGGCCTACATCAAGTGGTTTGACTAGGTCAAGAGTGTGGCTTCTGGAAGACCCTATGTCTGGCAACAAGACTATGCACCATGCCATACAAGCAGGAGAAATCATTCATAGGTTTTCTGACAATTTCCGCGAGCTTATCACCCTTATATATGGCCACCTAGCTCCCCAGACTGCAAAAACCTTGATTATTATGTGGAGGCCGTGGTTGAAGTCAATGGCGATTTCATTGAATAAAATTTATTCTTTAGTATTTCAAGATATTTTTGTTTTTGTGTAATTTTGTTATATCTGTTAAAATGAGATGTTAGTGCTATTATAATTTTCATGTAATTTAGACGACAATTTATCCATCGCACCTAATATATATATATATATATATACATATGTGCATTGTTGATATATATATTATATATATATATATATATATAATTCAAACATTGATGGATATATATATATATATATATACACATTGATAGAGGAATGGTTAAGTATAGGCATAATATATATATATATATATATATATATATATATATATATATATATATATATATATATATATGGCTAAAAGTATAACCGAAAGCGCTGGTAAATGCAGAACTTGGACAGTTCTTATACACTTTGGTTCCAGAAAAGCAAACACTTGTTCGAACATAAGAAAAATTAAATAAAATCTTAATCGCAGCACCTTGTCAGTCGTCTTTAACGAAGCATGTATAAAAGAGGGATTGCTGCTTAAATACACACATACTATATATATATATATATATATATATATATATATATATATATATAATGTATCTATGTACAGTAAGTGTTTGTGTCCATGTGGAGAAGAGAGAGAGAGAGAGAGAGAAAGGGGGAAGATAGAGAAAGACTGTGAAACAAACGAACGTATAGAGAGATGAAACGAATCCCGACATTAAGAGAGTGATGGAGACGGGCCGATAGATTGTTTATCCGACAAATACTCATGTGAGTTTTTGTGAAGCGTCTCCTGTCTTACTGCTCGCCTTTTTCTTTCTCTTCTGCGCGTGCGCCGGGCACTTCAAGTCTCAACATTCTGCGCATGCGCACGACGCTGAAGGTTTTGCCATTTGTATAATTTGTGTCTCTGACCACGTCAATGATTTTTAATATGCACGTCACACACCCGTTGGGCGCTGGTGGGATGTGCTTGTCGGCAATTAGCAACGAGCTAATCGTCCTCTTCTTACACGATGTGCACTCTGTCACATCTGGACACCCGGGATGACCCCTGGGTACAGGGTGAAAGAAAGAGAGAGAAAAAGAGAGAAAAGGAGAGGAGGAGAGAGTGGAAGCGATATATATATATATATAGAGAGAGAGAGAGAGAGAAAGAGAGAACACTCAACATGTGTCTATTTTTACTTTGGCTTTTGTAATCACCCTGAACAAAAGAAGATACTTACGTAAAGGCATCGACATAAACATAAGACTATGTACACCCACACATAGAATTATGCACATATAAACGAGCAAATATAAAAGCTTACGCATGCATACATAGACACGCACACACATACATACATTTGTATTAATTAAACGTTATTTTTAGTGGATACCCGTATTTGAGTAGACGTTCCGTTTATTTATTAAACAGCATATTTATTTATTTTCGTCTACCGACCTGAAATAGATCGTATTAAAGAAAAATTTTTGCTTTTTGGTAGAATTCGAACCCTGCGTTACCCTGTGAAGGATAAACCGTCGTTAGATCCGACATGCTTTAACCGTCTCGGTCACAAATTTCGACGAAGATAACGCAGAGATGAATAGTGTTTTATAAACGCAATTCCTTCCCAGACTCTCAGGAGATACATATCTGCTCAGTTTCGTATCCTAGTGCAAATAAAAGCATTTCTAAAGAAGTGGTGGATTAATATTTTTTAATACGACAGATTTTTTTTTCATCACTTTCTGATGTTAAGTATAAGTGTCCTTTTTGTTTCTATTTTTTCTAAAACTTTGGTGACATGTTCAAGTCATGATATTCTAACCTCATTCGGTAGAACCACATTTCTGTTACTCAAAGTCTCTTCGTCAGTTCTTATGAAATTGTCCAGCATTCAAGAGAAGCAGTACATTTTTCTTTATTTTTAACGAAATCTTCCCATTTCTTAATACCATTTCGCTATCTCAGTACGTTTTTCAGTCTTCGATTTCGCATTTTCCGTCTTCTGTTAAAACAATTCATAAATATATACATATTTTGCATTTGCTTGATTCTTGTGCCTCCATTTTTTAATTCGCATGTTGGACTGTCCTTTTTCCCGACAACCATCCATTATTAACTCCCATGGAGGATTTACATTCTCTGAATATGGAGTCTCAATAGTGTTAATACACCTGTGACTTTTTAACTAATGCATGTACTGATCTGTATATATGAGGATTTCCTGCAATCCAGGTACTGTAAATTGCGACATACAATGGTTTTCTGTCACTTGCCAACAGTGCCAACCACAGGGGCCGTCTGCTCTGGCCGTTATTATCAAGAAGTCACCTCTTTGACGAACTGACCATGGTGATATTCCCTAACTTCACCACTCGGCCACCCCCATTTGCGCAAATTGCGGCGTATAAGTCGAGTTTTCAAGCCCCCAAAAATTCTAGGTGTCGACTTATATGGCGGGTATAAAAGGTAAACCTTCGTCACCGAGTTGTAAACAAGTGGGACAGCACTCCTAACAATTACTGTACACCACAGGCTGCCGCAAATATATCCCACCAAAACTTGTTTTTGGTGAAGATACTTAGCATATTAACACAGAAATTAATATAAAATAATAAAATAGTAACACGAATTCAGTATTCTATTGACGCTACGGCACCCATCACGTCCAACTGCTGATACCCTAAATACAGATCGATGCGCCGTTTAACTCAGGAAGCCATTCAGACAACGATGTAATGTTCAGGTAAATGGTATGACCTTTTGTAGTTTTGGTACAGGCTATTGTATGCTGTGCAGATATATCAGCCAGCTGATGACTTGTTAAACTGGAAACAGCTGGACCTGTTACAAAAATGGATTCGAAACATTTATCTCCGACCGATGCTTATCAGTATCCTTCAACGAACGATCCAGACTGGGAGAAATCTCTGAATGAAGATAACTTGCTTTTTTAAACGACGAAGGCAGGACAAAGTATCATGCTAGCTATAAAACCGACCAGTACACCGAAAAGACACACTGAGAAACGAAGGGAGCCCCGGGGAACGACGCACAGGGAAAACACCCATTAGACTGTTCAATTCCTCCCTTATATATACTGTGGCTTATCTTCACTTACCGGCAGGCCTAAGTTTTCGGCCACTGGTAGCCTATGGTATGTTTAGGTATAGGCCTAACTCAGTATTATGAGCTAAAAATCTTGAAGTCGACTTGTACGTCAGGTCGACTTGTACGATGCAATTTACGCTATATTACCTATGGATATAATCTTGACTAAATAGAATTAAAAATATTCAGTGAGTTTCTTTTTACGGACGTAATAGAGAAGTTGATTAATGCTTGTTATGAGGATATGTAGGATAGATAACAGTTGAACCTAGACTTGAAGTCTTCGGAAAAAACTTCCTATCGTGTCACTTTCATCACATCTTGGGAAGAAGCCGTCCGATGGAATGCAAAAGGAATATGTATGGTTGTATTGTAATTAGCGGGTTTAAGATGTGAAGGTCTGAACTGGTGACACAAGGGATTTTAACTTGTCAGATCATTTTCCATGGAAATAGCGATAGAGTAGAAAGAGGCTTGTGTCGTTTTATCTGTGGTAAACGGGTTTTTCTATGGTGGAAAATGAACCATCGTTTTCAGGGCCGCGTAGATACTTTGGTATCTTAGTTGGAAAGGGAGGATTGAGTAGCTCCAAGACAGGTATGCCAGCAATAGACTATTTTTGTTTGGATATCTTTTAAGCTGTAGAAAACTAATCAATCAAATACTGATTAGCTACACAGGAATCTCTTGTTATTAACTCATTAAAAAAAATCATTATTACAATCTAAAAATATTAATTAATTAATTTAATTAACCGTACGGGAACCAATATTTCAACGTGATGTGGCCGTAAACCTAGAGATTTCTTAACGGATTTGCATAAGGTTTAGGTTCTCCTATTTAGCAAGTCATCGGCATTGTACAATTGCATTTCATTTTCTTTTACTAAATGATCACCTAATATAAGGCGTATGAGCCACTCAAGGCAGGGAGTTGCTGTTTCAGGTTGTTACACATAAATGTAAGTGCTCAGCGCTCTCCCCAGACTCTTTTTCTCTTTTATCTGTGAATACTTATATCGTCTTGGGAAAGTTAATTATGAATCCAAAGTAACCCTTTTCCTAGCCTGGTTGACAGTCAAGGCTCTATGAACCCAGTCCTGCTATTTGTTTAGCCTGTTGTTAGGCGGTGGGGAGAGAAATAGATTTATGCATATTTTTTTAAAAGAACCTGTGCGAAAGTGAATGCAATAAACTCAAATTTTTAAATCGATAACTATTTCGCTGCATGCACATTTTCTCCTATGAGCCGTGTCCCTTCAGGACGTTGACAATCATGGTTCTTCACAGTCTCTTGTCCTTCGTAACTCAGTAAATGTTGTCTTTCTGTTATCTCTCCTAAACCTGGTTCTGATATGTATTTACTCAGGTTTATTAGGAAGGTTATGCACTGGCTTTCTCTTGCCTTCAATATGCCTTGTGAGTGTCATACTTTTCAAACCCTCTTTCCTCATCTGATTAGAGGTATATCTATGCAATAGTTACATATAGTCGCATAAAATTGTTTCAAGCTACTTTTACCTTTTCGTCATTCTAAATGACCTCATACCAAATTTCAATCACTCTTAAGATAGCCGAACTTGCAAAAACCTTTCATATTTTTTACTCTAATACTTTATACGTTTACCTTGTTGCTGCTTCGTTTACTTACTTTCTAGTTTGGCGCAACACAATCGTAGGATGGGAGATAATAAAAGTCCGGCAGTAACCTTTTATTTATCTCCAAGGTGAGGGCAATCAAATAATAAAATAGCCGCAGCTGCTATATCAAATATCAGTGATGACAAATGGCGCCCAATATTCCTTCGTTATTAATTGTTATTACATCCGCACCTGTCATCGTTTCCACCCTTCCTTCCTGTATCGTAGAGAATAGCTAGTGACACGATGACGACCCCCATGATGACGTCAGTTGATCAGAATGGATTCCCCGCCGTCTCTCACTCTCGGCATGATGGCGCCGAGTTTGTCTTAGCGAGGAAATTAATGGCCAGGAAAAGAAAATTGACAGCAGTGTCTCCGCCATGTTGGCCGCTAAATGCGTTGCCGGGTGCAAATGCAGGTGCACGCCACAAGTGCACACCTGATCCCAAAGAGAGAGAGAGAGAGAGAGAGAGAGAGAGAGGGGGGGAGAAATAAAGAAAGAGAGAGAGTGATTGACTTGTTAATCACAGACCTACTGCGCATGCTCTTTTAGATACTTGTCGGATAACGCAAACAGTCTTCAGATCATAACTAAGAGGCCTCGAATAGAAATGATCTACATGAATAGTAATGGGGAAATTAGCCGTTTCCATGCAGGAAACTGTTATCGTTTCTGTCGGCTGAAATTTATAAAGCCTATTTGCTAAAACTGTTGTTTTTAAAAACGAAACTAGACTTAGCACAGTTACCGGGTTTTCTAATATTCCCTGCTAGGATCCCCGCCATACCACGTACACGTCCGCGGCCTTGTGGGTGATGTATTGTTTCCCACCATACAACCTCTTTCCCACAGACGAAAAGTGGTTAGCTTCATACTACTATATTTTCATGCTATGGTGACTGCATTCCTTGCTTCCCTTAGTTCAGACTTTCACAAATAGGACCCGCCATGACACGTATACTTGTTTGTTTGTTTGAGAATACTTCTCCAATAACTACAATCTTAACCTATTCGAGTCTAGGGTTAACCGTTATCTTCCCCACATTTTCCGATAAATTGTGTCTCTTACTCTGTAATCCTCTACCTCGATTGGCTCTTGGGCGTTGTACAGAGTTAAAATCATTGTAAAAATATAATCTATCTGTTGCTAGGAGAAGTAGTTCAAATTTTGATTTGATTTAATTTGTTTGTTTCACGCCATATTAACTTCTTACTTGTCATTTAATACTGAAATTTAATTTTCTTGGGAGAATTAGTAATTTTAAAAAATGTATTGCCCGTAATTTTTTCAAAAATGTAATATATTTTTTTCTTTTTAAAAATGTATTGCTGGTAATTCTTTTAGCATAAAAGTTAATTTTCATACTTTCGTAGTGTTTTGACCCCAGTTTGGGGTTAACTATTTGCTCATATCTGGGATCCTAACATGTGCTACTACGTAGGGTCAGGGTGAACGTGGGAACCACAGCACTTAAGAGGTGATTCCACGCTCCTCAAAACCTAGCGATATCAGTGTCAGCCGATATCTTGTTAAATGGAAACATCCTTACTGTCACAGAAATTGTTTCATACATTTATTGTCCTAATGATTATCAACTAAGTGGACTTCACAAGTATTATGGAAAACGACCCTGACAAAGAAGGTTACTGACTGAAGCCAGACCGTGATGAATTATTTTTGTCTAGACAAAGATGACAAGACTAAGAACAATGTACTGTAAAAGACAGTGGTTACTACCAGCATGAAATAGAGAGAGCTAAGCAAAGCAAAGGCGCGAAGAGTGACGAGAGACCGCTTTGCACAGTCACACAGCGAGGCGAAAAGGAAGACGCCCTTTAGACTGTTCACCTCACTTCGATTCATCTCTGCCTCGTTCGTGTACAGCAGTAGGATACAGGCAGAATAAAGTTAGCCTACTACTACAATTAGTGCATGACGATCTGGAAAGTTATTTTTTAAGCCATCAGCGTTTGACTGCAAGCGGCACCTTGAGAACGAACCTGGTATACAATGCTACAATTCCCTTCATATTCAATTGGGAGGTGGGAGTTCTACTCAGACAGCTTCTTCTCCAGAACTTCACTTTGTTGGAAAGGCTCCCAAAGAGGATGCTTTCTCGATCACTACAATGTTAACCTCTTAAAAGTCTAAGGTTAACTGTCATCTATCTTACATATCCTTATCAATTTAATGGATAGCGACTCTAAATAAAAAATCGGAGAGCTGAGTTCGAATTCTAGTCGGGTTCATTATATTCACTTACGCTTAAATACCACTGCAATATATACGAATTCATCTCCTTTCCCCTGCTATTTGATAAACAGTATCTGGGAAAGTTATCGTTATTTTAAACTTTGTTAAAGCGATATTAAAATTACATAAATTCCTGTCTCGATAGCAGGTCTGCTCAGTTCGATAAAATCAAAATAGCAGATGATGTCCAAATCGACCTTCAGTCTGTTGTTAACTGGGGCAAAGGAAGGCTTGTTAAGTTTTCGGCTGACATGAAGTGGAAAAACTATATTGAATCCATGTTAGCAGCTAAGAAAGTCAGTTCACTGTGTCATGCTAGACCGACTTTGCATTTCCCAACTTCCATCGATAGTAGAAATAATCGATTTTTCATGCTTCTACGGCAGTTTTCATGTAGTTTGCAGCTATTTTCTATTGGCCAGACTGAGAGCCAATAGCTGACTGCCACGAATAGGCAGGAAAATTTTTTGGCGAGCGTGAGAGTCTACAGCTGACTGACACGAATGTTAACTAGCATGCTAGCATGCAAAAAAAAATCGATAGCTGCATTCGTCACAAGTGGGAAAAATTTAAATCTACATGGCACTTTACTTCAATTGTCTCATTCGCTTGCTTAAACTCAACGTTGATTCTGATTCCGCAGAACTGGGTTGGGTGTGAAAAAGTATTTGTTGTTAACATTCTTTTTCAAAATTTTTTCAGTTACGAGTCCTTTTTTAAAGCTGATTGTTTTGTGTTCATTTTGTTTAGTTCTTTTTTCGTAACAGATTTAATGTTTAGTATAGAGCTTAGAAAAAATTCGCAGTGTGAGATAGGCAAGAAGTAAGGCATGTAGCAACATCAGCACGGCAAAGGGCACTCCTTTAAAGGCAAGGAAGGGCAAAAATATTTTAAGTCAAGTGATAGCGATTGCTGTATGAGTCATACGATTTTTGAATCAAGCACGGGCAACGCCTGCCCATGCTGCTAGTTTTTGAATAAAAAGATTTTTTTTAAATTTAGAAATTTTATGTTCTTTTAGAGAATGGTAAAAAAAATTCAAAAACATTTTTTCTTTTCCATATGCTTGTTGTGTTCTTATGTTCTTCTTATTTCATTGTGTCTCGATCCTCCGTCCCTGAAGTTGCTTAATACTTGATAAAATCTCTCACCGACTAATTTCTCAGTGAGTGATATAGCCACTTTTCTACCCAGAATTCCTTGTTTTTTCTCTATCCATTATAATTACGGGTAATTTGGGTAGCATTAATTACAGCACAATTCTTTTACACTTTATAAAATGTAAATAATAAATATCCCATTGTATTTGGCTCACGTATTTTTATAATCTTGTAAATAAACTTTACCGAGGGAATCAAAAGGGCATCCAGTAATAGCGGTGTCGAGCCAATAACTGTTCTTTTGACATACGTTTTTTTTTTGTTTTTTTTCCAGCCCGAAGGTAAAATTTTGCCGAAAAATTTTAATAATAATTTCTACACGAGCGATTCCATCAATAAAACCATTATTTTATTATTATTTCTCATATATTCAAAAATATCTTCAAAAGATTTAAATGCAATGTCAATCATAATCTACTATTTTCGCTCCTTAATGTTTCTGTTTGCTAATTCTTTAATCTTTCTACTTTTAAACCCAAAGCCTAAAATATACTGCTTTGCTATGGCAAAAAATTTTAAAATCATATCCGAATAAAATGTGCTTCTTATTCTGTAACTCTCTACTTCGAGTGTCTCTCGAACCTTGTATAGGGTGATATATTTCTTTCACCATAACTTTCTTTTGTTTATTTCCGATATCAAATCTCTTTGGTTTCTTCACGGAAACCACAATGGTGGCATTTTTTTCTCAGATCTTTTTCAGTTGTTTTGAGAATGCTCGTAAAGACTAATTTGAATTTTTTACGGTTTATCAACCCATTGCAGGTTACTTAAAATTGAAACATTTATTGAATTTTAAGAATGAATTGCGCAATTTTTTGAGATTAACAATGATTTTTTTTCCATTTATACAATACTATTTAACCCGTAGCGGTTTCTAAAGAATCATGGGATTCATATTTTTCCAAGAATATTTGCACGTAATGCAACGAACACGACTAGAATTGTAACTATCCGATTACTTATTCCGGGTCGACGTAAGGAGCTCAAAGTTATCAAGGAAATTATATTATGCAGCAGGTTTTTCATCTTACAAACTTTGTTTCGAAATTTCATATCAATCATTTATCAGCTAGTTTAAAGTAGTGAATATATATATATATATATATATATATATATACAGTAGCACTCACCTTTTATATACACACATATCTGAAATGTTTGACTTTTATCGAGAGAAACTGAGAATAGTTAATGTCTTCAGAGTGTTGAAATTTAGTAAGATCTAACAATTTCACATCTCATCATACTTATCTACACACACACACACACACATATATATATATATATATATATATATATATATATTTGACTTAATGGCGATATGAGAAGCTAAATACATGCATGTCTTTGTCCTGAGCCAATGAATCGTTTCCGACGTCGTTCTTTCCAATAGAAGAGAAAGGAAAACTGAAATTTTAGAAGTTGTTTAAGACCGGTTAGAATTTTGCAAATGTCCACCGGGGACTCTGACCGTGGACATTATTTACTTTTCAATATTGGAGAGTTCTATTTCTTGTGCGTATGGTACAAATTTGTGCAAGGTCTTGTCAGTGTTACAGCGCATATTTTTATTCAAAATCACGTGGGATGTTTAAACATGCACTGGACAGTCTGGCAGCACATATTCATGTATGCATAAATACATTCAAGGGGGAATACGCTTTGGGAATTATGCTCATACACATTGTTCAGACATAAGTTAGTAAGTAAGTAATAACAAATAAGACATTCACGTGCATACAGACACACACGCAAATTTGGCTCCCAGTTTGATCGTTTCACTTACTCTTAGTCGTAATTGTTCCAGCGAGGCAAGCTTAAAAAAAATTAAAAACACCGAGGTGTTTAATGTTTCTATACATATTAGTAGAATTTGGCACCGGGCCGATAGTATGGAGCACCCAGTTAGGATCGAAATCGCTACTCAGTCGTGATTGTTCTAAAGACAAGTTTGCTGAATATTAAAAAAGGTTAATTTCTGATTTTTTAAGCGTAAATTAGATGTGGGGCACCCAGTATGGATCGAACTCACTACTCAGTCGTAATTGATCTTGCGAGACAAGTTAGAAGTGCCCATATCTCTTCTTATATGCCAATATGTTATGGAGTGGTTTCACAGTGGAGGCTTGTATTTGTACTAAGTCGGTCCTAAAATATGTTCGACGTACAAAACGTTAGGAACTTGATATAATAGGTAATGACGCAGAGAAATCTAGTTGTGGTCGCTGATACTTTAGTATCCGACTAACAATCGTCCGGCATCGACTGACTGACCGAACCACTGAGCGACTCCCTCCTTACTCTTACTACTCCTACTTATTATAGGTTGGAGAGTCTATTAACTATAGAATAGGTGTGTTCCACTATAACACAATGTCAACTTCATACGACGTTTGTTGGAGAAAAGGAAAAATTAGTTTAAGATTAGTTGCCCACAAAGGAAAATTCTGCAATAAAATAATGGCATAAAAAAGAAAGTAAATGTGTTTTTGTGTGCGTGTCTACGCTTATGTTTCATTAGTCATTATTTATTTCAACTGTTGCATGTTCGAACAATACACATGAAACATAATTTTCAATCTCCGCGCCCCGTAGGAGGGACGGTGGAGTAATGGATAGCGTCTCAGATCGAGGAATCCAATCGAATCCAAGGAATTCCAGTCGAATCCAAATCATATAAACTTACGTATTTATACTTTAACCTTGGGAAAAATTACGAATTTTTCTTCTCTCCCTCCAGCTATGGGTAAATAGTAGGACAGACCGGGTTCTATAGCCTTGGATGGCAACTGGTCTACCCCAGAAAGTAATGGCAACCTACTGCAGGAAAAAAATCTGCCTTGTCAGTCATGTTTTGAAAGATACATGATCGCCTAAGCGTGTTTCACGTATGGCACATAACTGAGTACATCGTGTCAGACTGTAATAGAGTATATTTAAATATCCCATATCTAACATTTGCTCTTTACGCTAAAGAACTGGAACACTCTAATACTGAAAAGTAAATCAGTGTACTCGGTATCCATTTGATAAATTCTGTCTAGTCTTAAACAATTGCTAAATTTTCATTTGATTAGTAACTTTGCCCTTTCATATGTCATAGCTAAAGCCTGGGCCGCTTTGAATAAAATGGATGTAAACTGGAAATGTCATCTACCAAAGAAACTCTTCCGGAGATTACTTTCGAGTAAAGGCAGTGTTTATTAATTGCCACTGGAAAAAAATTTACAGTGTAACGGATATAAAAAACCCGGATATAAAAGAAACCCGGATAGAAACCCGGATATATAGAGATTTTTCTGGTTTAAATTAGAGCGATTATTTTACTGTTGTGGTAGGATCCACCTAATTTGCATAGTGAGTACCGACCATATAAATATGGTTGGTACCGGGAAGAGAGGGAGGAATCAAGAGATTCAACCAGAGACTCTACCCGACTGCGATTCAGTCAACACATTCTCCAGGAAATGGTCTTACCAGGAATATACAAAAGACTATATGTAAATATTGTGTACACTTTCTTGTTTCAATACATTTTGTTCTAAGTACCTTTTGTGTTGCATTATTATTCCAAGTCAAGTTTCAAAACTTACCTAAACAAAATAGGCCAAACCCGGATATAAGAGAAACCCGGATATAAGATACTTCTTCTCCGGTCCCGACAACTCTCTTATATCCGGGTTTTACACTGTATCTGAAACCGTGGATTTAAGCTTATTGCAAATACAACACCGCAATAGACATTGAAAACTATAACTTAACATCTCTCTTGAGACAACATCCAACTAAATCGCAAATATAAATCTTAAAAAATTAAAGAATATTTTTTTGCATCTATTTAAAATTTTGTGGATACCTAGCCATGATGCAAGACGGTTTGATCGCCCAGAAATGAACAGCTATGTTGTTGACAGAGATAAAACCCTAATGGCCTTTTTTTTTAAATGCAGGACTGTGATAAGTGGTGTGATAGACTCATGAATGTTTGAGCTAGAGCTAATAAGGGATGTTGAATTCTAAAAAATTATGTTTGAGATAGACTATCTTTGCAAAGTTTTTCAGCTGGAAGTCTAATATCGTTTTCTTACTTTCGAATAAATAGGAAAGTTGCTTACCGTTCGTCAGCCATTTGGCGGCTCACAGGCGGGTAAGAGGTTGCGATGGCTACACTTCTTTTGGCCGCAACGCCCCGGCATCTTGGAGCAAATATAAATTTTCTGGAACAATAAAAGAAATGAAAAAAGAATTACACATCATAATATAAATATATATATATTATATATATATATATATATATATAGTTTTAAAACAAGGAATGTATTGATTTTAATTTTAAAAGTCTCTAGATTGGTTTTTTCAGCCAACATCTCATCAGGAGACAATCGTTGGATCAACGAAAAGAAGGGGGATATTTTATTTTAACTGTCCCAATTAATTTATTTACACGATTATTTCCCCTCCCTCGTTTATTTAAATATATACACTTGTTTGTTATTTTTTGTTGTTGTTTTCTTTTTGCTCTTCATTGTCGTTAATATTCTTTTCGTTGATCCAACGATTGTCTCCTGATGAGATGTTGGCTGAAAGGGCCTTAGGACTTTTAAAATTAAAATCAATACATTCCTTGTTTTTAAAACTATATATAAATTTTTATATCCAAACATTTGTTTATATATATATATATATATATATATATATATATATATATATATTATTATTATTATTATTATTAATTAAAGAATATCAAACACTTAATTCTTATCGGTAATAATTTTATTTGATGAAAGCTCTAAAAAGTACTAAAATTAAAAGATTGAGAGATACTTTTTTTTTTAATCATGAAATAAAAATTATTACCTTGTTTTGTTTGATATTTTTTTAATTAATAATAATTTCATCTCTGTCTTTTGACAGTATATTCTCCCTGGATCTATATCCTCCTGGAAATTCCATATGGATTAATATAGTATTTATCATATACTATATATATATATATATATATATATATATATATGTATGGTATGGGGGAAAGAAAGAAGGCTCAGGAATGAATGTCAATTGGAGAGGAAAAAACAACGAAAAAGACAAATAATCACGACCCCCTTCACCAGGGATCGGCAAATTCCACGGGCCTGATCGAGTGTTAATAACGGATAGTGAACTAGACGAAGGCCATAAAAGAATAATTATGGAAAATTACATATGCTGAAATCTAGTGTTGACTATACTTACAAATAATTTATATAAAACACAGATGAATGTAGTAATCGAAAAACAGCATTAAATCAATGAAGCATCTATAGAATAAAAATTAGATGTCAATAAGTTGTCACGCTGTATGTCAATTAATTCTATTTGAAAACATTCTGATAACCTCTTCGCATCAAATGTTAGCGCGAACAATTTAAACTGATTTGCATACAAACGAACTCAGCAAAATACGATGCAAATTTATTACTCAAATCTTGGATTGTATTCACAAATACCTCTGGATCATGTGATTTCTTGCCTTGAAATTTTTATTTGGAGGTGATGTTTCCACAACTATAGCTTTTTTATAAAGGCGACAATATGGTTATAGATTTCATTTAGTAGCTGAGTTTTACCTTAAAATTGTAAATTTAAATTATTTAAATGAGTCACAATATCCACGATAATTGCCAAAGTTGTAAGCCAATCAGGATCTCGAAAATGTGAACTATCCAGACGTTTGCTTTTGAGAAATATCGCCACATCTTTGTTTAAATCAAGTACCCTTTTTAACATTGATCCTCGGCTAAGCCAGTGTACATCGCAGAAATAAGCAAGGTCACCATATTCTGCATCAATATCTAGCTAAAAGAAGTAGGATCAAATTCACAGACTTCACAGCAATATCCATAACATTCTTAAATTTCAAAGACTTAGCACACAATGTATCTTGATGGATAATGCAATGAATTTTAATTAGTTTATGTGTGATTCCAAGGCTTTCCATATATTCTTACAGTAGTGCAACAAAGCCTTTTTCCTATGCCATTTCTCAGGCACCATCAGTTGTGAAACCAATTAGATTCGAAAAATCAAACTACATTTCTGATATAATTTTCATTAAAGCTTATCAGAATAGCTTCTAGACTTTTAAGTTTTCCTTGCATTGGGTGCTATAGAGAATTTTTGTGTTGTCCACTAATATTTGTCTTATTGTCACACACACACATACAGACAGACACCCCCCCACAAACATATATATATATATATATATATATATATATATCAGTGGTTTTCACTATTGAGGTTCATTGGAACCCTAGCGTTCCGCCAGTAAAGGCCAGGGGTAGAAGAAGTTACACAAGTATTATGGATTGACAGTAATTTTGAATTCTCCTGTGCAGATATGTGTGGAAGATGAATTTTCATGTTGTGTTTGTCAAAACACAACCCAATATTAAAGATTTGTGCAAGAAACATCAGGCTCAAGTTTCTCATTGAATTTTTAATGAAAATAAATGTAATCCATTTAAACTGAACATTTTTTTACATGTATAATAACCGTAGAAGCAAGATTAAAATTGCATATGGACGTCTACAATATATTTTTTGTTTATAATTTTTTTTTGTAAATAAATCTGAAGATGAGTATTTTTATTTTATTTTAATAATTGAAAGCTTTCTTTTGCATAAGACAATTAATTTATTGCAGGGGTTCCTTGAGCCACTGGAATGTTTCCTTGTGGTTCCGTTCCAGCAAAAAGGTTGAAAACCACTGATATATATATATATATATATATATATATATATATATATATATATATATATATATTTAAATAAAACGAAAATCTTGGTAAATTTATATGGATAATCCCAAGGAGGATGAATTCCTGAGAGCTCAATGTATTAAGAGCGAATAATATACCACTTAAGGCTCCATTTGTTATAATTTATTTCATCAGAGAATATTATTTTTCTGGATCTTCAGATTTTCCTTTCAAAACCAGTTGCGTTGTTATCCATTGCTTTTTATTTTTTTCATTATAAATACTTTTACTAATAAACAACATACAGTTGTTACTTCTTTACATTACTTGTATATTTTGAATATAATGAATATATATGGAATATATATATATATATATATATATATATATATATATATATATATATATATATATATATAGATATATAGATATACGGCGAATATAGATATATATATCGGTTTATTTATATATAGGATGTATCACTTTTTACAAATTTATATATATATATATATATATATTAATTTAATAACTATAAAAATTGGCTATTGAGTATATTTCGGATGATAACAAATACCAGGCGGAAGATAATTTCAACTTAATGATTGTAATAAGAACAACTACCTACTTTGTTCTGTTATGACTCGAATATATCACGATCAGCGATAAATGACGGTTCCATATAGGATGCAGGTTAAAATCCTGTCAAAGGATGAATATTTTCTATGAAAATTTCTCGGACATTCAGGCTTGTAAATGTTATTTAATATGTTTATTATAAACATAAGCATTTACTTAAATACTTGTATCTATAAAAAAAAAGAACAACGTTAAACATAAAAAAAAAAAATGTTTTTAATAAATAAATTGTCGGACTTTGTCCATTTCTTATTTATGACGTCATTTGTTTACATTTGATAGTGCAGAGCAGTTATGAATGTACGAGATTCATGGAAGATTGAAGTTTATAAGCATGTAAATTCGACCTTGCCTACCGAACATTTCCTTTGTGGCCGAGTCGGTAAGGCACGTCAGCGTAAATGACGGTTCCAAGGATATGGAATGCTGTCGAAGAACGAATATTTTTATGAAAATTTTCTCGGACATTCAGGCCGGTAAATGTTATTTAAACTGTTTATTATAAACAGAGCATTTAAAAAAGAACGTTTAAAATACTTGTATATACCAAAAAAAAAAAGAACGTTAAACATAAAAAAAAAATGTCTTTAATTATATATATATATATATAAATATACCACAAGAAGTATTTTTCAGGAGTCAATCTCGGTTTGCTAGACGTCCAAACAAAGCTTGTTGTTTCTATGGAAAAAAATTTAATTTGGAATCAAAAATTAGATTTGAATGCATCAAAAGAAATTGAGAAATGGATTTATCCAAAAATAATATTGAATATATATATAATAATGATAATAATAATAGAGCGAAAAATTTATGGGAGTCGAGGCACGGTGGCCTGTGGATTACATATTCGATTGAGTTCCAATCGAATCAATTACATTCACTTGGGAAAATAACATATTTCTTCAGAACTAAATGGGTGAAATTGATAGAATTTAACCGGGTTCTTCATCGCGGGAGAAAAGATGGTTATAAAAAAAAAAAATGGCAAAAACGGTTGAAAAAAATTGAATATTCGTCAGAACAATGTATTTTTTAGAAATCGTAACGAAATGGCACATTTTTTTTTTTATATATGTACATATATGCTTTTTCAATTTTGTTTTGAGGATGCCTATTGCTGATGAGTATTAAATCGAGGACGAAAAAAGATCCAGTGCTTTCTGCATGAAAAAGGTTTCTATCATAACTCGATGATTTAAAAATAAATGATCAATTCCTCCTACTTTGATATCTATCTATTATATATATATATATATATTATATATATATTTATATTTAAATATATATCGATTTGACAGTTGATACGCTTAGAATTTAATAGGAAATGTTTATATATCGGATAGGTTCCGCTTTTGAAAAAAAAGCTCCATTTAATAAAAAAATGAATATATATATATATATATATATATATATATATATATATATATATATATATATAGAAATATCATACAAATGAAGATGAAAAATTTGATATAAAGATTGTTCTACGCCAACAAATACCAAGTGAAAACGGAGAATTTCCAAATTTGGACGATTTTCCTCGATTTGAAACTCGAAAAATCATTTTATTATTGCATTAATAATATTATTACAAATTTAAAAAAGTTGCGCCCTAAGTTTTTTTTAAACATAGCTTTATCTTTTCTTCTAATCATATACTATGTGTCTGTCCAATCGTCACACAAACGATTAAAACGCATTTGACTGATTACGATTAACAAAAAAAAATTTAAACATCCAACTGAATTTTACATATCTATTTTATATATATATATATATATATATATTTATATATATATATATAAATATATATATATATAAATAAAATTTTTCATATCACA